TGTAGAGTTGAAATTAAAATGTGAAGAACTGCATACTCAAATTGAACGTCTGACGAAAGAGAAAGAAGAAGCATTCAAGGAAATAGAACATCTGAAAGATCAAGTAAAGCTTTATCTCAATACCGGCAGATGCTGTTATCTCCATTAATTTTATTATTATCAGTGTTCATTATTTTGTATGTGCTTTCTTACGTTTATGTATCCTATTATTGTAAATACCAACAGTATTTTTGCTTGTTATTATTTTGGAAACGCTGCAAATAGAATATCTTTATTATTTTGTACGTGTTTTCTTGCGCTTATATGTTCTATTGTAAGTATCAACAGTATTTTTGCTTGTTACTGTTTTGTAAACGTTGTAAGTCGAATATCTTCGTAATTAATTTTTTTAAATACTACTTGTTAATTTGTTTGTATGTTCGCTATATCATGCAGATATTAAGTCAAAGTACTTATTGCACAAGCCTTGGTGCAGTATTAGGTAACTTGACATGGCGTGCTTCTAGGTTTCCACAAATAGTCGACACTTGGTTATCGAACGTAAGTATACATTAATAATATTAAGTAAAATGGCATAGAAATTTTGCTGTACTATGTATTATAAATACATAATAGAAGATAAAGGATAAAAATCTCCAAGATATATATTATATAATATTGCAGGTTTTTTTACATTACGAAAAAATTGTACATGAATGTGTAACTAAATATATAAGTAGATATACAATTAAATGTATAAAAATAAGTTTTCAAAATACAATTTTATTTTTTTAAATATATTCTAACTGTTCTATAAATATAACAAAATTAGCTCTATGAATAACAATAATTAATTAAGTATAATATTAATGGCTATACAGAGTCAAACGCTGTTTTCGATGCGTAAATTATGTACAAATATATCTTTGATACAGAAACATTTCGGTCCCATTGTTTGGACCATTATCAGCAATAATATGAAAAATATACAAAAAATTATTCTATGAATAACATTTAAATGTAATATAAAATTCATTTACATATAGAATTAATTTAATTACATTTATAGAATAATTAGAATATATTTAATGAAGTTTGAAATTTATATATAATATCAATTTCATTTTATTTATAAATTAAATTAGTCCTAATTAATTTAATTAATTGGTCGCAGTTTCAGAATAAAATAGGAGAATTCTTGTCGATAATGAACGGGACTTTTGGTGCATTCGTTAATATTTACAGAAGCGCATTCCCTCCTACGAGCAATGTTGAGTACCAATTTGTAATGGGACTCCTCGGTATCATCACCAATATATCCGCAAGCCCGGAAGGTCGTGAATTTTTAATTACAAATTCCAGCGGGACGGAATTTGTGCAAAAGTTAATTAAACTAACACCCGAATTGCCGTCGACACCTGGAACGGTATCTTTGAAAAGGTATTCGCATATCTTAAAGAATTACTTTGTTGCATACTTCCAAAGCTGTTTCCGACTATCTTATCTTTCTCCTCGATTTCCATATAATGGCTGCATTCGGAAACGTCGCTCGGATGCCTCCGATGCCTCGGATTCATCATCTGTCCTTGTTTAACATTAAATGTTAAGGATGATGAATCCGAGGCATCCGAGTGACGTTTCCGAACGCAGCCATTGTACACCAATATTTCCACATTTTATTGGAAAAAACAAAATTTCGATAACATCTCAAGATCGTAATTGCAGATTAATGTTAATGATCCTGTATAATGTAAGCATGAATAAGACTGGCTTACAATATCTGCTCGAATCACGAGTTGGAGACACGCTAAGTCATTGTTTGGATGATGAGGCGTCTTCGGAGGAGATGCAGTTGCTCTGTCTTCGCGTTCTACAATCCATCACTTACGACCTCGACAAACCAAAATATATTCATAATTTGATTACGACGATTCCAATCGAAAGAATCGAGATTATGACGTCCGCGAAACGGAGCGACATAAGCAATGCAGCGAAACAAGTCATCAAACATTTACGGCACAGTCAAAAAATTACAAAGTGATTATTAAAACCGAATGCATTCTGTATAGATGCGTCATGTCTTCTGTGATTCGTACAAAAATATGTATAAATAATAAATATTTAATATGTATAAATTTTTTCGCAGGAGATGATTAACTTCAGATTTCTGCATTTAATTCAGATTAACTGCAATTAATTTCAGATTATTTAAAAAAATAATTTTATTTTAACAAGATAATTGTCTCCGAAATCAATTTTATTTTATAATAAAAAAATTAATACTTTATTAATTACATATTTAAAATATATTGACAATAACATTTATGTAAGTTGCAATGTGAGAAATATTTTTATTATTACGATTTATTTTCGATGTATTAATACTCATTAAGTTTGGTTTAATTTCAATTTTTGTTCTTATAAATAATCCGCAATATATATTATATATAAAATATATCTATTTAAAGTTTTAAAAAATAAACGATTAATAAAACCAATTTCTTATATTTTACAAAACGTTGCACATTTAAAATATACTGATATAATTACGATCATTATGTAGATTGCGATGCTTGTATAAATATTTTTATAATTGCGATATTTTTAATGTGCATTCGTATCAACTCGTTAAGTGCTTGATTTTTGCTTTTATAAATAATCTACAAATTATACATGGTATATATATGTATGTTATGCATCAGACTGAAACGGTGAACTTTTAAGCGAGTTCCCTTCCCTATCATTACAATAATAGACTATGGCCAGACTGCAGACTATCCTTAGAGCGTATGTTCGTGGCTACTGCGAGGGTGGTCGACGATATCGATCTGTAAAGAGCAGAAACAAAATGAAAGTGATCGTACAAGATGTAATGCATTACGATAAAAAAAGTCAATATTTTATATGAGTTACGTAACAATAGCTCCATAGCAATATTAATAAACATTATTATACAGCAAAGGCACAGTAAATTATACGGTAATAATGCATAATAATGCATGAAGCGAATCAGAGTTTTGAATAATTAAATTTTCCATGACAGTAATAGAAAATGCAATTGTATTGCTCCCAGTGCTTACCATTTCAACGTCGTAATTTATATTTATTAATCCGACAGTTAATACATTTAAAAAATGCTCTTTTAAAACCTGCTCTTTATAACAAATTATTCATAAAAGGAAATGAAACACGTACGTCAGTCGCACTGACCCAGCAGATATATCGAGGTAATGACCGACCGCTCCAAATAAAAGTTTGCGTGCGTCCATAGATGTTCGATCGTGCAATTATCTTAATTTAAATATTCTTAATTTAAATAATATATACGAACTCTCTCTCTAAAAATACAAGATATTTCAAACTCTGTAGAAATGGAATATAAAGCAAAAAATTTGCAGTAAAAAATGGATAGTCTACAAGTAAAATTGTTCTTTTCATGAATATGGGCTGAACGAATAATATATTTTATACAAATAACAAATATATAATTATAAAATTAAAATTGAAAGTTCTTCCTCTTTGTTGAATTAAATTAAAAAAATACGTGTTTTTTGCCGAGTAATCCAATCTCTTACGACAGTCCCTGCATTTTGTATAGGAAAGTTACCGAGTTCCGCGAATAATACACTTTTCGCGGATTTTCTCCGAGGACGCTCCTGAGCACCGCCGTAAAATATCGATCGGCAAGACAAGTTTCGTACGCGAGCGGGCGTGCGCGCGGTCCGTGGAAGATCACGCCGCGGCGTCGGCGTCGTCGCATCCGGGGATTGGTGCGCGACGGCGGCGCGGCGGGGACACGCGCGCCGCGTCGGGACGTCGCGCGTCGGGCGTCCGACGTCGTGCAAGCCATACGGCAGGCAGAGGCCAAGCAGGACCTAGGACAGGCGACGGCCGGGCGGTCGTTTTATTGATCCTGGGGCGCCGCGGCGCTACCCACTCGCGGCGGGGTAGAGCCTGCTGGCGAGAGGAAATTTCTTCTACCTGGCGAGGGGGGAAGACCTCTTCTCTTTTCCGGCCTTCCTCTTTTTTACCTCCGCGTAATCCAAAATCCCGACTTCTCCCCCATTATCGCCGACCTTACCGCCTCGCGCGCGTAATCGCGCCTCGCGAGTTCTTTCCTCCTCGCGGTGCAACCCGGAGCCGGCCGGTGGGTGTGTGCCGTGTGCGACAAGTCGTGGTCGTCGTCCTCGTCGAGACGTCGGTACCAACGCTTCTTGGTAGCGCTCAGGAAAAAACGGGCGCGATCGATCGTCGTGGGAGGCGGACACACCGGTGAACCAGTGACCCAAGAGACTATCGGCTAAGTTTTTCCTCGTGAAATATCCACGCCGGTAGGGTATCGTAACGTGACCGAAGAGCTTTTAGTAACTTTCTAGAATCTACGAAAAATTTACGAAGAATCTGTGTTACGATATAACAACCAACTATTATCATCGTTTCCGAGGAAGGTTGAACATTTCCAAGATTTATACGAAGACAATTGGTGGTCATATGTTTTACACTATTGTCGAAGCCAGCGCAGGCCAGTCGAGATATCGACGAGGTCGGCCTGATTCGATGTCACTCCAGAAACCATCCTCAAACGTTGCCGTGCAAATAGTGACAGATAAGTGCTCGTCCGTAAGTACTTCGAATTATCACGATGATAATGAGAAACGCAGGATCGCCTAAGACTTGTCGCCGCCGGATTTGCAAGCGCTAAGCTCTCAAACGCCGGTGGACGACAAACTCTCGAAGGGTGCAAGAGAAAGAAGAGGGACAAGCGCGTGTTTCGCACGTTTCGATCGTCTTCGCGCGATCGATTCTCTCGATCGTTCCTTGCGAGGCAAATGGACGTAGACGTGACCGAGGGAACTGACTTCCGTAGGGTTCCTGCCCGGCTGACGCCGATGGGGGCATCGTAAGCCATCGGTGGGAGGGCTGCGCCGACCTGAGGAATCGGTCGATCGGTCGGTCAGGTGCCACCGGTGCCTCGGTTTCGACGGAAGTCGGGCCCCGTCCCTCGTCCGGGAGGCGCTGAAATGGGCCCCGCCACCAGCCGCGAGCAAATCGGCGAGCAGATTGGCGATGACTACGGCCTGCAGATACATCCAAATCCCACGATCCTGGCGAATAATGTCGTAAGTGCTCCGTTTTAAACTTCCATTTGCCTTCGATTTTTTTTTTGTTCGTTTTCTTTCCTTTTCTTTCAAGACAATAGGGACTTTTTGCAATACCGTTTATCCAGTGAACGCGCTAAGGTCAGATTAACCTCTTCTTAACAACTAATGAAGAAAAGGATAATGTGACTTTAGCGTTCGTCGTTAATCTGGATTCAAGTTATTGCAAAAACTTCATAATATCCTGATTCTTCTAGATAAGATAAAGTATACCTTAATTTTTTCTTAACCTTTTTATTACATGATTTTGAACGAAATGATTTTGAAATATTTAAAAATTTAGTTAGATATATAGGAAATAATATTTTGTTGGATCATTAATAATTATAGAAAACTGGAACACTTAGGTGACAATACTGCAAAAAGTTTTAACATTCTAACAGCCGGTTTACGTTTTACATAATTATTTTGATGATTCAAACAAAATTCTTTTCAGATTTATATCCAGCTATATTTCTAAATATTTTAGCAAAACTGTTCTTTCTGTGCAGAAAAGCTTTTTTCTGCGACTATCGATAGAAAGATATAAATACACTCTGCTGTATGCGATTTTGTAATGCTATTTTATTTACAAGTCGTAAATAGAATAAATTTCTGTTATTTTTATTGCGGTTTACGTTGTATTGGTAATCTTTTCATTGTAAAACTGTAATATGAGAGTTGCATAGAACGATTATATTTATTAAACTCTAAATATGTATCCATTAAGAGTATTTGCTTTTGTTCGATTTGTTTAAATTCAAATCCATATAGATAAAAATTAATAAAATACGGTGCTGTATCGGTTTTAGCTACAGCAAATTAACAAAAAATAATCCATACATTTCTATTCTTTATTTTATTTTAACGTACATATAATCCTGATTAATTATTTTAATCAGCGTAAAATAACGATCCGATATTAATTAATGCGGCAGGATATCTCGATTGATTATTCCTTTAAAACTTTGCTTGTTTCTAGGAAGTTAAGTTTGTTTTAAGTCTTTGCAATTTATATAAGCCTAGGAAATTTAAATGATATTTTTATCTGTTGCTTCACTTCATGAAAAATTCAATTTTCGTAATCTCAAGTCGAGTATATTTTTAGCAATGCTTTCACAGATTATTTTTATTATTTATACCGTCGATTATTAAGAGATACGAATTAAATTCCGAAAGTATATATGAAACGACTATATTTCAACAGAAATAATATTCGCGTTTCTTGCAAGCTTTCAACGAGAATGGGAATCATTTGATTCCTGCAAACACGTTGCGGTAATATCGCATTAGATATCGTTATCGCGGTTAACGCCGGTACGTATCGCGTTAGTAAAACGTCGGCATTACCGTGTGCAATAATTAAAATAATATATGTATAGGAGTTCCGTGGCTCGAATCATGCACGTGTATAGATCGTGACAAAGAACACTTGCAATTTTCTCCCCTGTTAATCCGTCTCACCGGACGAAACTTTGTCGTTCCTTCGAAACTATTACGTCATCGCTCATCACGATTTAATGCGAATTATTAATTCGCGTATCTTGCAGCACTTTGAAATTTGGCACGTTTCGACAGCATTGCGACAAGATTCAAATCGACATGCAGGTGAAAAACGGCATTGCGTGAAACATTGCAGCCTACAGGACGCCTCTCGTTTTCTCTCTTTCCATGCATTATTCTTCATTGCATAGATTTTCTTGGCAGATTTCCAATCGATTTTTACTCAACAAAAATGTAGTTGGATGTCATTATCTATATTTAGACATCTTATCTTTCAATGCTAAATGTCTTTGTAACAGAAGAAGCACGTCGATTTCGTTATGGTCGAAGAATCCGTGAATGAAGTTTCTGACGTATTCTGACATCCTGACGTACATCTGTTCTATACATTACGTTTTTTACAATCAAAGTCATTAGAGTTCGCGTACTGGTTCTAGGTATTACCGTAATTATTCGCACGTGGCGACTAGATAATCTCGCACGTCATAATAATTCGAGAAAGAGAGAGAGAGAGAGAAAGAAAGACAGATTGTTGCTCATAATAATTCGAGAAAGAGAGAGAGAGATAGATCGTTGCTCGGGAAATCGATTTTGAGGACGCTCTAAATAAATTATATCATGCAGAACTTTGTACTCGTCGCCAACTATGGCTTAACTGTTTTGTTCAACGCATACCGGTGAATAACGCGCCGTCGGTCGCGTTTAGACAAGCGACAGGGCGAAAGAGTGCGGGAGGGCGCGACAGAGAGGGAAGGAAAAGAGGGAGAGAGCAAGAGAGAGAGAGAGAAAGAGAAAGAGAGAGAGAGAAAGACGAGAGAGAATGACTGAGTCGCGAGCGCAGGGCGGGGTGGGACGCAGGGAAGAGCGGAAAGCACCGGGTGTACGTGCCGGAGCAAAACGCGACGATGCGACGACGGGGACCTGGAGATGGAGAACGGGACGAGAGCGCGGCGAGATGCGAAGTTTCCGAGGAGAATGGTGGGGAATCGGATGGACGTGCGTTGCGTGTGTCCGCGCCGATTAAGTCGGCCGGTGGTTGAGCGGAACGCGAGACGAGCGCATTTTCTATCGTTCGTACGCGCGTGTCGCGTTCGCGTTTCGCGCCGAGTTAGCTCTCCTCCGACGGATTACCGTCTCCTCCTCCTCTCCTCCTGTCACCGGCGGGTCAGGTGCCGCGGCTCCGCGCCTTCCCGCCGCTCCCGCGCCGTCTCATCCTAGCCGTCAACTCGCGCAGTCGCTCGCGCGCGAGGGTGCATTCGCCTCCAACCGAGAGGGCAGATCCGCCACCCTCGCGATGTCGCCTAAAAATAAGGTAAGTGTAACTTCTTAAGGTAAGGTCGCGCGTAGCGGCCTTGAGAGATCGATGGCTTAACGTCGCTCGAGAAAGGCAATCCTTGAGTAATATTATGTAATTCCGTATATATCAGTAATGTCAATTGTAACGTATAAAAGAATCATAGATATATTATTTTCAAGCGATATTATATAATCTCAGGCACGTCAGAATATATATTAAATAATTATAACATAATTACATTATTTTTAAAGTAATTAGGCGTTGAAACTGGTATAATATGATTGTCGTGTTTCCGTTCTCATTATTATATTTGAGAAATGAGATCGTTCTCGATAACAAAATCCGAATTCGATCACGCGAAATTCTATGAGCTTCCTGATACGCATTGAAATATTATTGACGTAATAGAAAGTACTATAGATATTTTTGTATTTATAATTATACATATTTTTAATTTATATTAATTTTGTGTATTTTATATTTATTTTCTTTCAACGTTTACTGATATCACGATTGCTCAGAAGTATTCGCAATAATATAGGTATAAGTATTCGCGGTGAATACCGAAGAGATGACTTTGCATTTTACAAATTGTGTAAAATTTCTAACGTTACGCATAGCAAGATCTCGCAATATCATTTCTCTCTTTTCAAAGGGTATGTCGAGTTTCGTGAAGATATTCCACGTGGTCGACGTGTTTAACGAGCGTGATCTCGCGCCTCCGCAGCGTTAGCAGGAATTTGAATCAAACCGATAGCGAAGCGCCGACATATGATTACTTTGTGGGCGTAATTTTTCAACTTTCCGTTTTTTTTTTCACTGTAATTGACATGCATTGATGTGACGGCAAATAAGGATGTATATGTCACATCTAAAAACGATACTAAAAATATAAAAATTTTATAATTTGTTCTATTATTACGTTCAAATATTTGTGAAACGTTTGAGAATAATTCTCTTATAAGGGTTTAAAACTTATTAAATTTTTTCGTTTGATTATTATGTAAAATCGGGTTTTGTAATACTTATTTACCAATTTGATGAGGAAATAACATTAAGAAATAAATCAAATTTTATACATATAAAATACTATTATATCAATAATAAATATTCATATAAAAGTTTATTTGGGACCATTTACTCGTTTAAAAGTTATTGACCTTTACTCAGCGAAATATGATCATTTTGCATAAAACGATAAGCTAAATTATTTGTCGTTTTGTAACAGTTGATTTCAGAGTGTATTCATGAGCTAATATCATCAAAATTTTTTGAATAATATTAACTTTTTTATGATTGACTAATATTTTTTGCTTATTGTATAAAACATCCTTAATGTCACGAAAACGCGATTCGTTTTTCTGTTGGCGGAATTCTATTCCCTACATTTTACGTGATGTTCAAAAAGATATATATATATATAGTCAATATTTTATCAAGAAAAGTTTCCAGAAGGGCGTCATTCATTATAGTTCCTTATTCGTAAAAATTATTAATGGATTTGAATATCACAAGTAAATGAACGAATAAATTTTAAATTAAATTTCCTTGTCGTTGATTCGACATTATTCTCGCTTATTATTTGCGATCGTATTGTTTTACGGCGACTCAACATTTCGCTACATGATTCACTCGACGCTAATACATTTGTCGAACAGATATGCATTTCCAGACGATTTACGCACTGTTGTTAATGGAGAAGACAAATTACGCGAATAGTAACGGCGAGGAAAATCAATTATGCGTAAAAAAATTAATATTCGCGATTTGCATTTCCAAGATAATTTTCCATTCCTGGGATCATTGAATTTGTTGATTCTAAGAATTTAAAGAAATGTTACATACGATAATTACACTTGCTGTTCTATTACTTGATTTAATATTATTTGAAATGAAACGAGACTTTCTGGAAAATGAGAGTCACATAATAATATGTGTCTGAATGACCTTTTAACAAATTGTCGGTACTTCGTTATGTCGTGCAATTTGCGTGATTTACTGTTGTGTTTTTCGCACTTCATTGTCTTTTTAGCGTTTATCTTTTTAATTAATCTTCTCAAGGTAAATAGCAAAAATGTGCGCAGCATGAACAATCTCACGGAAAGAACAGTTTTGTTGAATCTAAAAATTTAGCTGTAGATTTGAAAAAAGTTTTGTTGGGGACTATCAAAATAATTATGTA